CCCCAAAACCCCAAAACCCCAAAACCCCACATCACCGACTTCCCCTTGAAAAATCCCACCGCGATGCTAAAAATCCCTTCTTCAACCCTACCGTCCTTCCTCTCCCTCCACCCCTTCCCTCCATCTTCCCCAAATCTCTTCTCCCCAACCTATCCTCCATTACCTACCCATTTTGCACCAGTCAGAAAACACAACAGGATAGACCGAGAACGTCTTTATACCTCAATGACTGGTACAGAACGGGGTCTGGCCTGTCCAAGCTGGAGTTAAGGAGCCAGACAAGGAAGAAATTTGGAAATTATGAAGAGGTCTGAGAGGTTTAGGTAGGAAAAGGGGTGAAGGAGAGAAGGGACTGAATGCTGAAGTGGGAATTTGGGAATTTTGGTGGGTCAATGTGGGGACTGTGATAAGGAATTTACTGGAGATTTTTATAATAAATGATAATTTTTAAGAGGAAAGGAGAAAGTGGGAAGAGCTTGAAGCCGATCGTGGTGGCTTCGCCCTTTGTGGGGGATTTTTATCAGAGATGTTTTGGAGGGAATAAAAAGAGTGAAGTAAATGAATTTCAGAGGGTAAGAGGATTTTGGATGATGGAGGATTATGAAATAGGGGGATTTTTGAAGCAGAGTTTGTACCTAAGTTGTTTGTTGAAACATTGATGAAAAATTTTAGTTGTGTGAAATTTTAAGCTTTTATTTGCTTGAGAAAGATCTTTGAGAGCATATCTTTATAAAAAATTTAATTAAGAACGCCAAATTTAGTAATGATTGTAGTATTTTGACATATTAGTAAAAATATCTTGAAATAGTGCAAGTTCATAATTTGCAAAATTTTATGATATTTTAAATTCGCACATATCCCTTCAGACAAATTATCAGAATTCTTACTCTACCATATAGAGTTTGCTTTCAAAATCTACGCTAAATTCTACAAGCTTGGCTTTGAATCAAGAGATGTCAAATTCATTGTCGACAAACAAAAGTAAGCACTTTTTAGACCCGATTTATCACGAATTGTTGTATATCTAATCATGGTGAATGCACCGCTCCCAAGTGTTATGCTCTGAACTTTCCCTCAGAACAGAAGTGTTATGTTTATTTATCATCTCTCACCTGTCATAGTAATTAAAAAAGTTATTTTATCTTGTTAACACATCTTTGATAACGGACTTCTTCGATTTTTTACCTTTCCTCCATTTCATATCTCTTTTTTACTTTCAAAGTGAGTTTATTGGTTCTAAGACTTGTAATTATGTCTGGATTATTCAGTTTAGTCCTCTTGCATGGTTTGCCTTCTTTACATTAAGTTAATAATTATGGTAAGACTATTTAATCTCTGATTATGAAGTTAGAAAATAGCGATCTTTTATGTTAAAATGTCTCTATTATTTGGCCGTATACGGATTTATATGCGGCGAGCTGCAACTGATATCCTTTATTAGTTGTCTGGCTATTATAGATACTTTTAAGCTCTACTTAAATGAATTTAGATACATAAACTGAAGGCTTAAGCATATCTATATTGTTAATCTGATAGATGTTTTAAAGTGTTAAAACCTTAAACAGCTCGCACACTTTATTGTTTCCGAATTTTTCATCAAGATTTCATACTTATAAAGAATTAAGTATTTATAAGCTTCAAGTCTTATTCATGCCAATTCTTCATTATTACAAGTCTTTTTATAAGGTATAAATGCTGAGGAAGACTGGCTTAAAGTATTTAGCTAGATATCATTAATTTTTTATCATTAGATTTCTACTCGGTTCGGACAACTTGTAGCATTAGAAATGTAGCTTAAAACCAGAATATTTCTCATCACTCAAACTCATTAAAGCTTCTTTTATATATCAAAAATGAGTGCAGATACATTCTATTAGATGAGGCTCTTAACCTGGTTGAGTCTTGGGGTTATGCTAAAAATTTACTGAGTTCTGCAGTCTTCAACATTTCCTATTCCATCAATTTTGAATATTCCAGAATTTTTGATTGAATTTACCTTAAAAGGAAGAAAATGTAGATATATAAAAGTTAGTTGAATTAGGTAAAAGAAGCCGAAGCATTGAAAATTAAAGATAAAATAATGATTAATTCAACTTTATAAGTGCATATTCGGGCTTCTAAATTATAATATAGATATCTTTCATAAAACATTTGTCGAATCTTATCAATTTCTCATGAAGTACCTCAATCTGGATTTCCAGCCAATAATTCTGAAATAAGGTTTATAGAACTTGACCTCCAATTAGCATCACAAAATTTTGCCCAAGTGTGATTTTTATCATTTCTAACACTTAATTATGAGCAAATTAAGATACAATCCCACCAAGAGATTAAATAATTTTTGTTCCTATACTGGATGTAATTTTTCAAAAGTGCATACCAAAGTAAACTTCAAATATCTTCATATGTTTACTTAACTTTAGAAGACCAAGAAGAATGTAAGGATGAGCCATCTAAAATTAAATCAGAGTTCATACCCTTTCAGGTATGATTTTTCCATAATATTTCCCCCAAATTCTAACTTTAATCTCACAGTTTATGATAGATCCTAAAATTAGAAGAGATGAAGCCTCATCTTCTTAAGACTTGGAAGAGGGATGAAAAGTACAACTCAGATGGAACTTTGTAAGTAAACTTAATTTTTCGATATACAAAGTCATGGCTACAAATATTTAGCTGCTATTGCTTGAGACATGATGGCAAGATAGCCTACTACAAACTTAAATTTTTTACCCTGAAATTACTAATTTTCAAAAGCATCTCAGATTTAGAAGAACTGAAGAATGTTATTAATTTGATATTTTTCTTTAATTTACACCTGTAACATGCAAACGTGGCTTTTTAAGCTCATCAGCTCCTTCTTATTGTTTTTAGAAAGAAAAGCAAGGGTAGGAAAAGGATAAATGTGCTGGAGTTCGAAAATTTGTTCGAACTTATCCACCAACATGTTATCCCTCAATGGAAAAAGTACTTGGTCATTAAGTCTGTCAAGACTTATAAAAATAACGACCAGAATCCTAGGAGCGATATTTTATGGAAGAAAATAATTAGAGACGTCAGAGAATTTTATCGTACTCTCTTCAGGATGAGATTTCATTACCTTGATTATAAAGACCTGGAGTCAGCAAGAAAATGTGTTAATATTTTATTCGAAGAGATTGGAATTCCAATAGAGCCAGAATACTTCGAAGATCCTTCCCTGTTTACTTTCTTACATCAGACTCACAAAGGAACTGAAAGCCGTTTGTTTTCAGACCCTGAAAATGAAGTCTGGTTGTCTCCCTTTAAGGTGATTGAAAAGTTCAATAGCTCTTTTAAGAAATCTTTCATGAGCGACAAACTATGAGCAAGACTGTTTTACTTTGTATACGCAAATTATGTCGAAGAATACACTGAACTGATCAACCCTAAATATAAAGAAGATCTCTCCTCAATTATTTGCTTAATCCTCAAATGCTACACCAAAATGACTGAATATAATCAGTTGCCAAGGGTAAACTTTCTATCAATGTAGCAACAGAAGTATTTATCATCAAGAATAAATAATTGAGTCCTATACTTTCTTTCATCTTCATTTATACGATCCCTAATTATTTCAAAATTTTGATAATAGCTTAAAATACAAACTCTCTGTGCTTTAACTCTCAGTTCTTCATAAACTCTAAAATTTCTAAATAACCAAGTCATAATTCTACACATCCTGGAGCAAACAACTCCAAGACTCCCATTACAACACTCCAAACATTCCCCCTGCCCATTCCTCCTCCTCACCTACCATCCTCTCCATCCCGACCACTTCCTACTTCCATCGGTCCCGAACCCAGTACTTGTCTTTAGGAATTTTTAGCCATGTGATGACTGATAGAAGAGATGAACTGGAGCCTAGTGGTTTAAGGAGTGTTTGACTGGGGGAGAAGGAAAATAGGCGTGGCTAAGGTGAGGGGTGGATTGGGATTTTTGGATGTAGGAAGAGGAAGGAGGGTGAGGTTGGGGATTTAGGGAGGAATTTGGGAGATTGTGAGGGGATATGGGAGATTTAGGGGAGATTTGGATGGTGGGTAGTGGAGATGAGATTTTAGTGGGGTTTAGGGTAGGGATAGGAGGGATAGGTGGTAGATGAAGCCATATTAGCAAGTTTAATAGTATTTCAAGCGTAAAAATGTTATCTGGGGTTTTGGGGTTTTGGGGTTTTGGGG